TTTTGTTGGGGGGGGGGGGGGGTTTAAGCTGTTTTCTAGCCAATCAGATTTCATCATGTGTGTGCAAAAATTAGGAAATTGCTCTGGACGGGAAGTGGTTAAGCAGAAAGGACATCCTTCTGAGGATAATGGGGTGCAGCAAAATTGGTTCACAAGAGGTGCAAAAAAGATCAACTATGCCAATGCTGGAGCAAGCATCCAAGATTTGCCATGTTGAATGTTAAAATATCTCAGTGCTTGTATTCATGTATTTGAAGCGGACGAGCCATTTGGATAAAAAGTTTAAAGTCTTCAACATTCCAGAACAAGTCAAGTTCAGTGTGACTTACTGCAGCATAGAATGCATTTCGAGGTATTTCCACTTTTCAGGTGCCAGGGTTTCCTCATACTATACAATTAATTCCTTTTTTTCTTTTTTTTTTTTAGAATCCAGTAAACCAGTTCACTGATGAAAGCGTGAACAATCCTGTAACAGTGTTAAATATTTCTGAGGTATGCTTTTGTGCTAAGTACTCTGTCACTGTTTTTTCTGATTTGTATAAATTTGGTATCGTAAAGCTGCAATGCAACACAGAGAATTCCACGTGTGATTTTTCCCTTATTTTAATGATTATAATACCTAATATAGAAAAAAAGAGTGCAACACTTGTTGTTAAATAATAATCTAATGAAAGTTCTTTTCACATACTAAAATTGGTATCACCAAATGGGATAGTTATGCCTCATTAATTTGTTTACTAGGTGAAAAGGCCAATTTTGAGTATTTAAATGAATCTAGCATCAGATTTGTTTTCTTGTTAAGAGTATGTATATGAAGTAGAGTGTAAGTGTAACACCTGATGTATGACTTGTCTCAGAATCACAGCACTCCCATTGACAATGTCTTCAACTTCTTTTCTCTCCATAAGGATGGGGCTATCTTTGTTATATTTCGTTATCCAGGGTTAACATCTGCTTCCTGGACTCAGATTGTGGTGCATAGATGAACCAGTTCCTTTTGATTATTCAATCGAAATTTGTCATGCCAGGTGGTGTTGGCAGGTGGTCTCTCCTGGAGACGCAACAGGATATTGGTGTCCTTCTTATTGAATCCATCTTGGCTTGACCCCTTTCTTATTGCTGGCTTTTCAACAAGAGAGTTTCAGCATCTGTTGGCATGACCTGGCAATAAAAGAAAGAACAAGCCAGGATGGATTCTCTAAGGAGGACATTGGGAGAACCATAGGAAAAACTACATACAAAACCTTCCCCAAGTTAGTACCAAAAGAGGGACCAAAATTGTATCCTTGGTAAAAATAAGCACCTCCACTCAAAATATGTTTAAGGGTCATGTTCTTTCTTTAGCACTCCTATGGTTCTCCCAGTGTCCTTCTTCATGAATCTATCCTGGCTTGTTCCCTTTCCTTTTGCTGACTTCTCAGGGAGAGAGTTTCAGCATTTGTTGGCATGAGCTGGCATTCCTGTGAAGAAGTTATCTTGGAGATATAAAAGTATAATCCCCTTTGAACAAGAAATCCCTAGAAAATGGAGATGGTCTAATAAATGGATCACAATAAGTAATATAATGTAACAAAGTTTAATGATTCTTAACACTAATATTTATAAAGACACCTATAACATGACATTTAAAAACAATTAAAAATGCTTCCCTAGAATCACCTAAATATAATGATACGGGTGTTGAACATATGAATCTCCTAGGGGTAGGAAGTCTCTGATGTGAGTAGAAAAAAGGCTATATCAACCAATAGAAAAACGGAGCTGTACTCACATTGAACGTAGCCGGTAAAAGGTAATCCTGGTTGGATCCCACAACGATACATGCATGTAGTTGTTTATGGAAAGAAAGTATCCTTATAAAGCAGTGTCACTAGATAGGATCTATTTCATTGGTAAGTTTGGACTCCCACCGCTGTCCGAGATGCGGGGTTTTCACTCCAGAAAAAAGCCTCCAGAAGGGTTTCCAAACTGCACGAGCGCCCTAATGAGTGGAGTGTAGTGAGGGTTCCGCAGCAGTGTGTCCAGTGACAAGGAACGGGGTACTCGCCTTTGTCTCCCGATTCAGTGCCTTGGCTGCAATGGACAATCGCTCACTCCTGTCTCCCCGGCTTAGCTGTGGTAATCAGAAGCCGCTGTCGTTGCGTTCGGCAGTGTCCGCAATGGCCGGGGCTTCTTCAGAGGGACTGAAGAAGCCCCTCTAAAGAAGCCCCGGCCATCGGGGGAAACGCGTCAGGATAGCGTGTGTCTCAGCTTTCCTGGACACCCTTTGCTGACTTCTACACGTTCGGGTGAGAACGAAACCTAAGAATCTCTACAGCCACCGAAGGGAGTGGATCTATTAAATTCGATGCGGACACTGCCGAACGCAACGACAGCGGCTTCTGATTACCACAGCTAAGCCGGGGAGACAGGAGTGAGCGATTGTCCATTGCAGCCAAGGCACTGAATTGGGAGACAAAGGCGCGCTAATGCCGGTGTGATTACATGCAGCTGCCATCCCGTGCCGTGTCACTGGACACACTACTGCGGAAACCTCACTACACTCCACTCATTAGGGCGCTCGTGCAGTTTGGAAACCCTTCTGGAGGCTTTTTTCTGGGGTGAAAACCCCGCATCTCAGACAGCGGTGGGAGTCCAAACTTACCAATGAAATAGATCCTATCTAGTGACACTGCTTTATAAGGATACTTTCTTTCCATAAACAACTACATGCATGTATCGTTGTGGGATCCAACCAGGATTACCTTTTACCGGCTACGTTCAATGTGAGTACAGCTCCGTTTTTCTATTGGTTGATATATCCTTTTTTCTACTCACATCAGAGACTTCCTACCCCTAGGAGATTAATATGTTCAACACCCGTATCATTATATTTAGGTGATTCTAGGGAAGCATTTTTAATTGTTTTTAAATGTCACGTTATAGGTGTCTTTATAAATATTAGTGTTAAGAATCATTAAACTTTGTTACATTATATTACTTATTGTGATCCATTTATTAGACCATCTCCATTTTTTAGGGATTTCTTGTTCAAAGGGGATTGTACTTTTTCGAATTAGTGTATTGAAACCCTAGGATGTGGTCACCATTGTATAATTTTACTTAGCGTGAAGCTCCTATGTGTTCCCCTTGTCTTTTGATATCTTGGAGATATCCCGTGATCAAGCCACTTCACTGTATGTCCAATTTTAATTGTCTTCTTTTATTAAAAGTGGCTTCATCTGCACTACCATGTGTGCTCTTTTTAATTGTATGCTCAAATAAAATAAAGACAGTTACAGCCTGATTGCATATAACTATAATAGAGGAATCATTTTTATTTTTATTTGACACAATTTCTAGCATTTTTTAAAAGAAATTTGCAATATTGTTCTGTGCAAATTGATTTATCAGAATGATAAATACTGGGTCAGTTTAATGAGATTTTCTAATTATGCTCTGGCAATCACTATCTTGCTATGGACATGACATTTTGGAATGATGTCCTAAATACTTAGGGGGTTATTCATGAAGATGCTGAAGGACCCAGACATAGATTTGCTTCTCATCGGCCGCCGGAGCCCTTCTGTTCAGTCGAACCAAAGGGCTGCTGTACGGGCTATTCACTATAGCCCGTACAGCAGCCGAGTGGCTCATCTGAGCCGAAGGCATATGCTTCGGCTCGCTGAGCCGAAGTGACACATGAAGTGGCAGCTGGGCGGAGCTAGCTGCCAGTGTCCCCAGGTAATTTGGGGACGCTGATCTGTCATTAAACACTAACAACTGGGTGGAGCCAACCGTGATGTCACGGCCTGCTCCGCCCAGTTGTTATTCATTGGACGGAACCTGCTAGAAGACTCTAGCAGGTTCCGGCCAATAGGAAACAGTTGGGCGGAGCTAGCTACCATTGCTATCGCCAACCAATTGTTTTTTTTTTCTTTTTAAAAAAATCTTTCTTTTTTAATTGTACTATTTATTTAAAAACATTTTTTAAATTCAACCTCGGAGGTACTGAGCAGAATAGCTGAGCCGAATGAGAATAGGGGTGAACGGCAGTGAGTGAGCTGCTGGAGCTTCCAAAAATCCTTCTGCACTTCGGCTCAGCCACACATGCAGAGCATGTTTCGCTGACCGAAGTGCAGCTGATGTACGGCTGAAATCAGCCGTACAAGCCAGAAGTGAATAGCCAAACAGCATTTGTCTTACTTCACTTCGGCTGGGTTATTCACATGGCTGCCTTTTGGCAGGTTTGTGAATAACCCCCTCAGAGTTGAATAAAAGTGGT